TACTTAGTTATTTGTATCTATGTCTCTATATATATATATATATATATATATATATATATATAGATATAATGTGGGAGGGTGGCCCGCTGCCATGGCTGTTGTGCTCTCTCCCTCCGTCCCTCTCAGAATGGGATTTGTACAGCACACACACACTATGGGAGCTCTTTATGTCTCTGTACAGCAGAAAGAGAGAGATAGAGAGAGATCTCACTGGGTGTGAGAAGGGAAGAGGTAAGGAATTTAGCAAGTGAAGATTGTCTTTGGTTGGAGAAAAATGGAAATTCACCCATTAGATTGCCTGTTATTAATCATTTTCTTGCACATTGCAGCATTCGTGGCCTGAGACGCGAGAGGGAGAGTTTCAGCCGTCAAATGAAGCGAAGATTGACATCTCAAGAGAGAGAAAATCTATATAGAAAGTGGGGAATCGGGTTGGAAACAAAACAGAGGCGGCTACAACTTGCTCAACAACTATGGACTAACCCACAAGACATGGACCATGTTCAAGAGAGTGCTACTGTTGTTGCAAGAGTGTTGGGATTCTCTGAGTCTGGTCAAGCTCTCAAAGAAATGTTTGAGCTCAGTTTCACTCCTCAGAGGCTTAGTCGAAGATCTCGCAGTTTGTTGTTTCGTTCTTGAACTCATGAATACAACACTGATTCAAGGTGGCAGAGGTGGTGTATGTAAGAACAGGTATGGGTATATACATTCCGATTCTTTGATCTCCCCCCCCTCCCGCCCCCACAAAAAAAAAAATCTTCGTAGCTCTTTGATTGAGTTATCTTAGAATGGTTTGTAAGAATAATAAGTGTAAAGCTGAGAAAATCAATGAAATGTTGCTTTGTGTGAGAACAGAGAGCTGCTGTGGGGTTCCCTTTTTATCGATGGATTGACCATTGCCACCTTAACTAGAAGTTGATAGTTGCAGTTATATAGAAAAGAGATTTTTTTTGTTTTTGTAATTCTAGAAGAAGACATAAATACTAATGGGTATTTTAAGTATGATTAAGTATGAAGTTATAGTTTATTCATTTTCTTAACAGATTAAGAGTTATAATAACTCCATGGAAGTGTATGGATAATCAAGTGCATTCACTTTTCTTGCGTTATACTTTAGCATTTCAATCTATAGTATATTACTACTCCACAGCACATGATGTGAAGTGCTTTGATGGTGCTCATTTCAAAACAACTGTTGTCATTTTAAATTGTGTTAAGGTATTTTATGACCAAAGGGGACCTTTTTCATTTGTTGCTTAAAGGTCCATTTAATCTCATTACAGCTGTTTACTTTAACAAAACTTTATTTTGGATGCACACAAAAGCGCACATTGAAAGGCTAATGGATGACCACCTCTTGATGAACAACCTTCATGAGTGCCAATGAAAGAGAGCCTGTCCCCTTGAAGGCCAAAGGGTGTACATCAATCATTATTACTTAAATTTTAAAGAGAGGTTTTACATATGTTCTCATTTTTGTTCTCTCTTTGCTAGTTTTTCTCCCTCTCTCTAGCCAGTGATGCACTTAAAATCTAGAAATGCACTTGAGAGTCAACAATATCGTTGAGAACAGATGGTGCACTTGAAATCCATGAACATACTTAAAAGTTTCAGCAATGCTGTTAAAGAGTCAATGATGTGCTTAAGAGCCACCAATGCTGTTAACAGCTTTAATGCTCACCCTTGAGCTCTTACCACTTAATTATGTGATTCCTTTATACAATTCTATGGCTCTGCAGCATTATTTCTTTGATTCCTTTATACAAATTCTATGGTTCTGCAGCAAATTACTTGAGCATGCCAAAGAAGATGATATTCTGGGCCCCCAAAATTAACACATGATACATGGCTTTGATACTCATTTGTTAGTGTGGTTAGTAATCGATATTAGCAATGGTAAAACTCAAGTTGAATTTCCATTACTGAACTACCCAAAAATAAAAAGGGGCAATAATTGGTCTTCTCTTTTTTGGGGGGAAAGTATATGATGAAACCATTTATTTTTGGTACAAAATAGATCTTGGTCTTTGGATGTGAAATTGGGTGGCTGCATTTATTTCATTGACCAAGCTCAAAGTTTTAAAGAAATTTTTTTAAACTTTGTGACGTGCCCAAGCTGTTAGACTTTACATCGGATGGTTATAAGTAATTGTTTGCTCTTTACACCAAACATAAATGGTATGGTTCAATAACAAACTTCAGATCATTCTCTCCCTTTACAAAGAAGTATTTTGTGACATTGTAGAGTTCCATTAAATAAGGCTCCATTTGAATGTGCTGAAGGTCATACCAAGAAAATAGTGCTACTTACTCTTATGGGGAATCATGGAAATATAATTATTTTTTATGAGAAAAGAGGAAACCCACTTATCCTTTCAATCTTTAACTCTTGAGGGTGTTTCTCAACTTTTGCAGAAAGATGAGCTGCCCCGTGAGCAGTGAGACATCACCCTTGGATGCCAATCATTAAATGAAAATTGTTTCACGCGGGCTGGACCCTATTTCTATAATATGTGGTCTACAAAATGTGGTCTCAGGGTATAAAATATTGCATCCATCTTAAAGATGGATGCAAATATATGGTCCATTTAAAAACAATTGAAACTAACGGTCCGAATGATTTTTTAGTAGTATTATTATTTTAAATTTTCAAATTTTATTTATTTATTCATATTCATGATCTCCAGGTTAGAGATTACGTGTTCTTAAAAATTAAGTCCAAAAATCTATCTCAAAAATAGATTTTTAAGAGGTGACTTAAAAACGTTGTCCATCACATAATGATGTGATTGCTAAAATTTTGTACGCCAAGTGAAGCCCAAGATTTCCTTAGAGCACGTTTGGTAACTCGAAGCCGAGGATTCTCTAGATACTAGAAGATCTAGGTTCTGGAAAGATGGGACTACCGATATCTGCAAGTTTTGAAGTACTTATTTGATAACTTGTTTGGAAGTTCTCAAATATAGAGGTAATACTTCACAATGATGTAGCAAAGCTTTACAGAGAAAAGGCTTCAAAGTTTCATTAATATGAAGAGAGAGAAGAGAGAAAAATGACAGTTAGCAAGAACAGAATTAAAGAGAGAAAAGACCCAATTAGAGAGAGAAATGACATATTTATAAAGAGAATAAGTTAAAAGAGACAAAGGGCACAAATTAGAAAAAAGACTTGGAGAAAAAGGCCAAGATTAGAGAGAGCAAATGAAGGCCCAGATTGCTCTAGGGCCCGGTGGGCAAAGTCCCCTAGACAAGGATTTTTTTTACCTATAAATTTTTAGAGCACTTATATCATGTTCCCTTTAGAGCATAGCTCATTTCTGCTCTCTCAGTCAAATGACCACCTAAAAATCAGTAGGTAATTATTCTCATAAGAAAATTTTAGAATTTAAGTTTTTTTACCCTAAAGTTTTACCCCTTTAAAAATTGAAGGGTCTCTATTCAATCTTGAGACATTAATTTTTTCAAATGCTTAGAGGGTGAAATTAGGAAATTTTTTATTGACGTCAATCTATGAGGTAAAGAGGTTAAATCCCAAAAATCTAGGGTTCTATAATCAATCCTAGGTAGGGTTATACCCTAGCAAGTAAATAGACAGTATTACTCCCGAGCAAGTAGAATATCTTTTGGCAAGTTTTTAATCTTCTTTTATTCACTTCAACCAATGCCCAAAAGGAATAAAGGTTTTGTTACGATACTCGAGTATTTTCTTAATTTACTCAAACTTTTTTGGACACTAATATATTATTGTTTTGTAATGCAATTTTTTTTTTAATAAGGGCACCTCTCATTAGAGGGGTAAGATATTTTTTTATGAATATAGTGGCATTTATTAGTGATTAAAAATCAATCATTGTTCTACTTAGGTGATATAACGATAGTATCCTCCCCCACTATAGGTGATAAATGTTCTTTATCCTATCAAAAATTTCGATTTTACTTTTGTTTAATTACCTAAAATACCCTTAAACAAAAAAGTTAATATATGATAGAATAATGGTAGTGAGAGTCCAAATATATTACATTAAGTAAATACTTATATATACAAGGACCCCAACATAATCCAACTTTGAGAACTTGAAACTTCTCTATCGTCAATCAACCAAACACGCTAGAGTTAGTCTCGAGGGTGAATACAACATGAGCATTTGTCAATCAACCAAACACGCTAGAGTTAGTCTTGAGGGTGAATACAACATGAGCATTTGACAAGTTCATGACATTAGTATTTTCACCCGTACCAAACGAATTCCACAAAACCAGAAGAAGCACCATGCAATGGGGGATGGGAAAAGAAGTTGCTCCAAAGAAAGAGATTGGGTTTCCCAATTCTTCTCTGAAAATGTCTTTTAGTCTTTACACGAGTGTGTATATAAATAACGTAAAAAATATTCAAATCAAGTACATCTGCATGAAAATCCTGACAATGAGTGGTCCACATAATGTGCTGCGGTCCACAATGTGCTGCAAGATACTCTTTTAAGGCTTCAAATATTTGTTTTTTTTTTTCATGTCTATATATCTCGATGTATGATCAATTAGCTGTTTTTCCAACATCAAAACAACTCTTTTCAAAGGATCTTAGGGATGCACTTTAATTCAACATTTTAAGGTGTCAACCAAACTTTTTCCAATAACGTTAGCTATGCAGGATCAAGATAAATCTTATTTATCAGAGATATAAACTGTTTTATATTTTCAAAGATTGAAAAGATTGAAATGAAGGAAACTACAAGCAGAATCCATACATGCTAATGGCCAAGATTCAAAGAACTTGGATAAGAACGAGGCAAGCCATTTAGGCCTCGTGGTCATATTTCACTTTTTTTTTTTATGAGAATCAATCTTACTGCTTCTGGTTTTGATTTCGTTGCTTCTACATTTGCGAAAAAAAGTGTGGGACGCATCGCTAAAATCATTGGCCCAATACTAGATGTAGCTTTTTTCCCGGGTAAGATACCCATTACAATAAGAGCCACATTTAAACTCGAAAAGGAGTGAGAGATAAGGTACTTGAGAAAGGAAGGCTTTTTTAAGACTTGAGGACCGCCCCTTCTACTATCTTCCACCCCTTATCCAAAAAGCTCATCTCATATCGGGTGGTGTATGATGTACTATAAGAGTCATTATTCTCTGGGTTCTTATCATCAGTTAGGCGTGCACCTTCCTCAAGCGTCACCTCGACCAGGGCTCGACGCCCATCTGCAGAGACAGTGATGCTCTCTATGTTGAGCCCCAACAGTGTGTACTCCCAAAACCACCCATGCTGCGCTATCTCTGCAGCGCGTTCCCTCCAAATCTTCAACATCTGACCCTCCAAAACCTGGTGGCACCATGCATCGAAAATCAGTACTTGATCAAAAAATTTGATATACCAAGGACATCAACATCGAAAGCGAGGAACGATTACATGAGCCACGCTTATGCTAATAAGCCAGTGCATCGGGGCCATCCATTCCCCTAGGCAGTTTGATCAAATAATAGATGATGTGCCAGCTGCAACTGAGTGAGGGTGGGACCCATTGCCCTTGGTTTGGATGATTCATAGGAAGGGATGGTCCAGATGTGTCAGCTTCTTGGAGGCCACATAACCCCGCTCACACAAATAACTTTGCTTGGAAATAATCTATATCAATGTTTTCTTTTATCTTTTTTTGGGTGGGAAAGTTGGGTTTTAAAGAAATATAATCGTCGTCAAAGCTTTTTACCAACTAATTGAGGTCGGCTATACAAATCCTGGTCTGCTATTCTACTCTATTAAGAGTCATACCCTCAATGAGGCTATAAGTCTCCACATCTTTAAAAAAATATCTATGCTGCAAAAATAATCAATGATGTATGGGGATGTCCTTTTGTTGGATAACAACTAATATGCACAGATCACAGATCAGATAGCTGCTACGAAATCAAAATAACCAATCTCAAAATTATTTTTCTTTTAAGTGGATAGCTGGCGAGATCTTAGCACAAAAAAGAAAATCACATAAGCGACTTCTCAGAATGTTTAGACTAGAAAGTGCTAAGACGGTCATGTTTCATACATGACTGCTATTCTGGAATCAAGCCTATTTATGATATAGAAAGAGATGTGACCCATATGGCATTACTATTGTATTATTTACTCTCTTTCTCAATATAAAGCAACACACTTAACAGGATTATTTGAGGAAACAAAGTCACTGATGTGCTTACACAGTAAAAATCACTGACGTTTATATGTTCCTTTGACATTATTGCAAAGTGTAACTTCATGCTTGGCTGGAGATTGTCATAGTTACCTCTGGCAATTTAGCAAGATCATGGCGACGTCCAAGAGCCTGCGATTTAATATCTTGCCATTTCCGGACTATATTTTCTGCAAGCCTAGCATCCATTCGTGGAATCTCAGCAACTGAACTCGCATTTTCCTCTGTAATCACAAGCAACAAAACGCTAAGAAAAGGTCCCACCACAAACATCAAGGAATACAAACTCAAGAGCATATTTTGGCTTCTTTTTTTGGGTAAATCGGTGGGGATTATAGCCCATAGGCCCCCTACTCATTTTTGCGAATAGTCAATTTTTTGAAAGTTATTGTGAGAATGGAGGCCATGACCTTTAACTAAGACTCAGGTGGTACTACCACCAGTACCCCAGCCCAATTCTCGAGTTTGGCCAAAGTTTGATGATATAGAATCAACACAATCCGAAACATGTAGCAACAAAGAAATGCGTTTGAATAGAACATTAAAGACACCGAAATTTTTAAAGAAACATTGATCCCAAGTAATCGAGACGGGTACAAGAACATGGGGAAGTCTGCTAGTTTCCAAAGATAATGCCCATACATGCCAAAGTGCATTGATCGTTCAAAAATAGCGGATTGGGCCCAAATCATTTGAAAGTCAAACCACCAGACAACAACCTTGATTCCCTTTAGACTTAATTGAGATCGCGGTGAAGGTTTGTGCTCTCTCTCTCTCTCTC